TTTTACACCCGGAACATAAAGCTGTCACTTAGTTCCACCTGGAACCAAAAAGGAACTATTTCATATCGAAATATTTCCTTATTTTGGAGCTTTCCAAGCAGCTCACTTTTTGAGAGGTGAAACGAAATCGATTGCCAGAGACTAGTTATTAGCATGGAATAGAATTGAAATCGAAATCAAATCCAAGAACAGATTTCTCTTAACATAAATTGCTAAACATAAATCGCTTACTACAGGAGCGCTAAGGCGCTGGAGCGCAAAGGCCGCGCTAACTCCTACTGCTGGTGGGCTTTACTCTTATATTTCCGAGCTCGGAGCTTTTTTGTTCTTCTCAGAAATCAGATCAGCGAAACGAAATCAACATCCGGACACTGCTATTTCACATGGGAAAAATCGAAATCGGAATCGATTCCAAGAACGGATTTCTCTTACTACACTGCTGCAAGTTCACCAAGAACAACCATTCCCTTTACAGATTCAAGCACATCAACTGGCATATTAGAGGCAACTCTCTCTTCTTCAGTCAAGCTTGCAATGAAATTCAGTGCTTGATTCTTCAATCTCTCTCTCTCCCCCTTCAATATGCAGTCTCTCTGATAGTTATCTCATCCTCTTTCAGTTTCTTTAGCAAAGACTCATCAGCATCAGTCCAAGAATCTGATGGAGGGGTGGGATCATTTTTCACCTTCATCCACATATCCAATAGCTTGTCTTTCTTTGCAGGAATTTTCTTTTGGTACTTCCACTGGCACAAAACCTTCAGAGTAGACACTGGGAGGAGGGTCCTTGCATCTGCATCCTTCTTAACATTTTTTCCCTTTGAGGCAAAATTCTCAATCAAACCATGAGCTTTGCTGTTCAAAACTTGTGCTGCTCGTGCAAGTACAGCGCTTGCTCTGGGGGGCGCTGGCTTGCTTGTGTTCATCTTGTTGTTGTTGTTATTGCTCATTTTGTAGCCAAAATACAGCAAAAATTGCTTTTTCTTTCAAAATACCCAGTAGATTGCAATGATACTTCCAGATCAAGTCTAATTTGATGTGTTAAGGACGTTCTGCACACTGGTTGTCTTTGTTATGGAGGGGAAGATGGTGTTTTTCTTGTTACTACACTACAGCTTTTGTCGTTGCTATGTTTTGTCCATATTTTAGCTGTTGCTTAGATCTCCTGTTTCTTGTAAACCACTTGGTYGATTGATCCGCTACTTCCAGATCCTTGACCCCTTGATGTAAGGATCACAACACTTGTCTTGTGAGCTCRATTGGTTGGGTATTGATAAAGAACTAAGGAGGTGACAGCTTGCTTTGTTGAGGTTGATTAAATGAGAATATTTTTTATTTTTCATGCACTCAGAAATCAACAAGCCCGAAAAGGTTCTCTGACAGGAAACATATAGTACAATATGGACATGTATCAAAAGAGGAGGGAAAACCCTTTTCGACTGATGGATTCTCTAATTCTGATTGGTGCTTCTACTTGAGTTAACAAGCACGCAAAGTTACCTGTTAGAAATGGATAGTCTGATTTTGCACCCAAACTCGTACTGTATCAGAATTATACGTACGTACTGTATTGTACTGTATTGGAAGCATACGTACATACGATGCAGAATTGGTATAGTTGGACATACCCTTCCTACCTATATATCATAAGACACTATTCATACTTAAATATAATACGATCCATCGTACCGAGAGGTCTAAGAATACGAGGTACGATTTCAGATGATGTTACAAAGAATAAAGATGTCATGAGTCTGGAATATTGTCCTTTGAGTCCAGTCCTGGGCCTTCAACGGCCTATCAGAGTACATACAACTTGGTCGCGCCTCCATAACAACTCCTCGGAGGGATGTGCCGCCCCTTGGAGCAGCTAGAAGCATTCTTTCTCACGACGGCAATGGTTCTGGCCTTCCTAGTGCCTCTTCTAGCTCACGAGGTTAAATATAATATTAAGTTTTTTTTTTTTTTTTTGAGTCTGGAATAGGAGAACCCTCATGTAGATTCAGTACCAGATCTACACAGGGATCTAGTCAGAACTCTGGAATTCTCATAAAAGCACATGATAATCTTTAATCATAATTCTAATTTCATACACACTTAAACACTTAAGAGTACACGTTATTTCATGCATACAGTGAATTACTAATTATGAGAAAACAGTGGGGATGTTACTGTTACCACTAATAGAAATAGAGGTACTACTAATAGTACTAGTAATGATTCTTGCCGATATTCTGTTGTGGCGTGACAGGTTGATCTGAGGAAAAATCATAACAAACCATTGCTCAGCAACTACTCTTGCTATGTCTACGCTACTGCATTAAAATTATCAATCGTGGTCTTAGNCTACGCAAGTAAGAACAAAGTCGCTATCCAAGATTGGATTAAGAAGTAGAGAGTCTATTTAATCGGAGTAGGTTCATACTTACCAATCTAGTTTCCGCGAAATCAATCCTCAACGGGCCTCGATCGGAGTGACTGAATTGAAGCGGSAGCAGAACGGTTTCGTCCGACGATGCTAACTATTACGTAGGACTTCGTACTTCGGTACTYSGTATTATTTAATCTCCCTGTTTTTTATGGTCCTAAAATAACTCTTACAAARTTTTAGGTCATTTTTACAGTTAAAAAGTGGTTATGAATTATCTMAATTACTGGTACTCGACTACGAATTCCTTTTACTGRTCCTTACTAATTCGTGCTTCGGAACWTGTAACTTTCATCAMTACTACAGTGCAACKGAWACGTACGTACGAGTTTGGGTGCGAAATAAGACGTGACAGCTTTTTAACGGTAGGGATTCTACAGGATTCTACGTGTGGAACAATAGTCTTATTTTACACCCGGAACATAAAGCTGTCACTTAGTTCCACCTGGAACCAAAAAGGAACTATTTCATATCGAAATATTTCCTTATTTTGGAGCTTTCCRAGCAGCTCACTTTTTGAGAGGTGAAACGAAATCGATTGCCAGAGACTAGTTATTAGCATGGAATAGAATTGAAATCGAAATCAAATCCAAGAACAGATTTCTCTTAACATAAATTGCTAAACATAAATCGCTYACTACAGGAGCGCTAAGGCGCTGGAGCGCAAAGGCCGCGCTAACTCCTACTGCTGGTGGGCTTTACTCTTATATTTCCGAGCTCGGAGCTTTTTTGTTCTTCTCAGAAATCAGATCAGCGAAACGAAATCAACATCCGGACACTGCTATTTCACATGGGAAAAATCGAAATCGGAATCGATTCCAAGAACGGATTTCTCTTACTACACTGCTGCAAGTTCACCAAGAACAACCATTCCCTTTACAGATTCAAGCACATCAACTGGCATATTAGAGGCAACTCTCTCTTCTTCAGTCAAGCTTGCAATGAAATTCAGTGCTTGATTCTTCAATCTCTCTCTCTCCCCCTTCAATATGCAGTCTCTCTGATAGTTATCTCATCCTCTTTCAGTTTCTTTAGCAAAGACTCATCAGCATCAGTCCAAGAATCTGATGGAGGGGTGGGATCATTTTTCACCTTCATCCACATATCCAATAG